CTCCTGCACATGTTGGAGTGACGGTGCCTCCACCAACCGCTGGGGAGTGAGTCCCTGAGTCATGTGGCTGAATCCTGACTTTCACTCAGAGCAGGTGGTGTTTTGTGTAGGTTTGTTTTTTATTTTTAATGATCCTCAGATGGAAGGAGAAAACAGGGTTTCCACTAGACGTTATTTGAAAGGCCAGATTACTCAGCAGATCTCTCACGTTGGCTCAACAATTCTTTGTTTTTAATTGCTTGAAGATTGCATTGTTGTAATTGTTCAGTTTTTAAATGTGTAATGGCATTTTAATAGACTATTTAATCACAGTGGTTCAAAAATATATATATATATCATGTCATCACATTACAAGCAGGTATCTCATATGTAAAACATTTACCTGAATGTTGTCTAAGGACTGAACTGTGGACTTTACTATTCATAATGATAAAATAATAAAATGTGAATTACTACATATCATGTGCCTCATTCATGAGAAAGTAGTGCGTTGGGTTTTTTTTTCTTTTCTTTCTCGTTCCTGTATTGCATAGATTAAGGGTGTAAAATTACAGTAGTCTTTTTTTTCTTTTTGGAACAGAATTCATAGTAACAGTGAAATGGTTACTTTCCCAAGTCAGGATAAATAGCTCAGGCAGGATGTCTGTATTAAATGTCGTAAGACACTAAAACTCCCTGCAAAGACCAGTTCAAGTACCAGCAAGCATACCTGAGCCCTTCATCTTTAAAAGATTGCTCAAGAAAATCCTGTGCTGTTTATTGAAAGCATTAAGTCGAGATGAGAGGGGATGTGGTCTTTCCACTGAAGCCAGAATGATTGAAGTGTTGTGCTCCTAAGGAGTGTGTGATTTAGTCTTCTGTCCTTTTATCAATAGCACATGGTGCTTATAGAATGCTTTACTGTTTTCGTGGCCTTTCCTGTATGTGATCTCATTTGGACCTCTCAGCCATCCTGAGTGGGCAGTGGGCAAGGTTGTTCAACTCCTTCTGTAGAGAGATTGAGCGATTGGCCCAGGGTGAATGAGCTTGGGCACCAGCTCCTGAATCCTTTCCAACTGCTCCACAGGACTTCTCCCCTTCTCTCTTGCATGCTCACTGAAGAAGCTTGACTCCTGCTCCCCGCCTACTAGCTGTATGGCCTTGGACAAGTTACCCTCTCTATGCCTCAGTTTCCCATTGGGAGAATGGGGAAATGACTGTACTCACCTCTGAGGTCTTTGTGATGATTAAAGCAATAATGTCCGCCAAGAGCACATCCAGATGCGGTTCACTGTCAGCTTTCAGGAAATGGTAGCTGTTAATTTGCCGCCACTGTGGCTGAAGGTATAGTTAGACCACAGGCAAAACTGAATAGTGGCTGAAAGCTGAGGGCACTGTGGGAGGAGCTACTATTGCCACATTTCTTACTAAGCTTTAAAATGGGATTTGATTTTATAAACTTTACAATGGAGCCAATCTGTGATCTATCCTTATTAATAATTATGGAATCTGTTTCCTAATTCTAACATAACTCAGGATTTTTCAAAAGGGAGGAAAAAAATCATGTGTTTTATTTCCATTCCAAGAATAAGTTTATAGAATGGTAGAGTTGAACGCAAAGCGGGTGCTTAAAAAGATGACAATAGTATGTGGATAATATCCTTTCAGGCATCTTGTAACCATATTCCTGTTACTAAAAAAGAGCTGCTATGCCACAGTTTATTCTTTCAATGAATTCGGTTCAAAAGGATAGTCTACTGGCCTTATCAGTTCGAATTTTCCATTTTGTAGCCCAGCCAATAATTCATTATCTTGTAAAATTCTCATAGTTTTGGCCGTCTCACTGCACCCAGTGATAGACTATACTGCTGTGGCATCTTCAGTGAATCGCTTGTCATTTTGAACCTGAGACTTGTTACATTGCTGTCTTCCCCCGGGTTTCCTAATAGAGAGTTGCTCTGGCTTTTGTTCTCACAGCTCAGAGTCACATTCATGGATGAGTGAGTAGAGCTGGGCTCTGCTGCATCTGACTAGATGGCATTAGCAGGTCTGATGATTAGCTGGGTCATCTTTCCACCATTCACCATTTGCAAGGAATCTGTCACGCATAAAGACACTTGTGGGCTCTGTCAGCAGTGAGAGACAGTTAGTGAAGAACAAGCCCATGATGGGCCAGACAGACAGGGCCGAGGGGGCCCTTAGAGACCTCTGACTTGTTGCCTGTAACAAGCAGAGTGTCTTCACCACCAAATGGCAGCAGCCCCTCCTTGGGCCTGCTCAGGTGCTTGCAGAAGGTTTGCAGAGTGGAAGAGCAGAGCAGCTGAATCCCTATCTTGGTCTACCTCTGGCCACGATGAATAATGCTACATGGCAGCTGCCTGCCTCCTAACAGAACTGGGGAGGTGATGAGCCTGCAGGGATTTCCTGTGTTTTGTATGGGAGAAGATTCTACAATTTCAGAGAAATTTCTTGTTTACCCCCAAGAAAACTGAATGAATGCAGCGAGGTGGCAAGAGCATTTGCAGGCACTGACAAAAAGTATATTAATATACAGTCTTGCAGCACTTTGGGTTGGGTTGCAGTGTGCGTGCGTGTGTGTGTGTGTGTGTGTGTGCTCGCGCGCATATTTGGATCCATCTTTTGCAATCCATGACAGCCAATATTTCTAAACTGAGATTTCTGGGCCCTATTGAAAAACAACCTTTGGCTACTATGGATCCCCGTCCTTGAATCACAATAACAGGTAAGCCTTTTCTATGCGTGAGTGTGGCCCTTAATGTTTTTAAAACTATAACTTTTATTAAATTTTCTCAACATAAAATACATGTTTATTATGGCAGTTGGAAAAAAAACAAGATGAAGAAAAATAAGAATTACTCCTACTCCCATCTAAGCACTGTACATCCCAATTTTCATCCCTGTCCTCCAATTAGTTTTCTGTGCCTGCATATTCTTTTTATAAAAAGAATAGGCTTTTCTCTGCATTTCCTTATAAAAAGTGTTTTATTTTCCAAATGATAATACACATTTTTTTGTCAATGTGAGGACTATTTAGAGAGACTAAAATGTGTAATTAAAATTTAAATATTCCTCAATGCCATACTCCAAATGGTTATATTCATGGCTTAAAATTAACTAAATTAAGTTTTCGATTTTATAACAAGAATGGGATTATATCGTACCTGCTGCTTTACAAGTGGCATCTTTTATATAACATCAAACTGTCTTTCTGTGTTATTATTTCTCTATGCCAATGATTTCAACATCCTTTGTGTTCACCACACACTTTCAAGTCCTATAATTTTTGGTGGCATGTTTGAAGAGATAAAAATACACTTAGCTACTAAAAAGATGACTACAAGTATAGCAATGTCTTTCACTCTCAAAACCATTGTCCTACTTTTTGCTCCATCCCCATTTGGAACCACGTTCCACTATTTGAGTAGAGCTGTTTACGGCTCCCCTCTGTGCACTCTTCTATCCTCAAAAAGCAAAGTTTAGCACAGTCTGGGCTTTATTCTGAGATTTTCTCTCTTCCTTATAGCAAGATGGCCTCTACACTACCTGATGATCCAATCAGCTTCGTGTTCCATTTCCACAAGAGTACGTGTTCCGGGAGGGCAATGAAATTTTACCTGTTGATCAAAATTTGATGGCACACTTATGAAGGGTTGGTAGTCTATGTGTAGCCACTATTCTCTGCCATCATTTTCAGCAATGCATACCTTTCCAGTATGCGGTTAGGTCATCATGTCTTAACCACTTCCCGGCATGGATCTTTAGGTCGGTTTTGCTTTTTCATTATTATAAAGTGATGCAAGGAAGGGAGCATTTGTGGTTAAATCTTTAAATTCATCAGACGTTACAATGAATTCGATCCCTGCTTTGTTTAGCGCCAAACATATTTTAATTTTGTTCTCAATTAGCTTTTTTATATAGCAGACCACCCCCAAGATGTAATGGTTTCAAACAACAAATGTATTGGCTTAGAATTTAGCCCACAATTCTGTGAGCTGGCTCGTCTTGCTCTTCCAATCTGGGCCGCTCAGCTGATTTCTGCTGGGCTGTCTCGTGCATCTGTGGTGAGCTGGTGGGTGGCTGAGGAAGGATGCTCTAGGGTGGCCTCACTCATGTGTCTGGAAAGTCGCAGGCTATTTCCTGGGGCAATGGGTCACATGTGTCTAGGTCACACCCTTTTATCTGTCAGGTTACCCTGCCTTCTTTACATGGTAGTAGTGGCGGGGGTTCCCGGGGCAGCAAGAAGGCAAGCCCCTGTGTGGAAACACCTTTCAAGCCTCTGTTTGCATGCCTTTTGCTGACATCTCTGGCCAAAGCCAGTCATGTGCCAGCTCAGAGTCGGTGTGGGAGGGCTCTACCGAAAGGCATGGAGAGAGGAGGGGAATAATTTGGGTCGATTTTTTTGCAATCCACCACAGCCAATATTTCTAAACTGAGATTTTTGGGCCCTATTGAAAAACAACCTTTGGCTACTCTGGAACTCTGTCCTTGAATCACAATAACAGGCAAGCCTTTTCTAGCATGCCACGGTCCTTTCCATCGCCCACCCCACAGTATCCATATCCTTTACCCAGCTCCTTCCACCTGCTCAGCCACACATATGTTTATGTTGATGGCCTCTAGACCATAAACATATAGACATATAGCCATGATGATGCTTAGCATAATCTCCTAGAAGTGGAATTGCTGGGCTTAAAGTATGAATAACACTTTTAAAAACTTTTGACTTTTTAACACTTTTTAAAAACTTTAAAAACATATTTTAGGGATGGATGTGGCGGTCCATGCCTATAATCCCAGCACTTTGGAAGGCCGAGGGGGGCAGATCACTTGAGCTCCAGGAGTTCAAGACCAGCCTGGGAAATATTGTGAAACCCTGTCTCTACTAAAAATACAAAAATTAACCAGCCGTGATGGCCAGCACCTGTAATTTCAGCTACTTGGGAGGCTGAGGCAGGAGAACTGCTTGAACACAGGAGGCGGAGGTTGCAGTGAGCCAAGATCGCACCACTGCACTTGAGTCTGGGAGACAGAGCAAAACTCTGTCTTAAAAAAACCAAAAAAATTTGACTACCTTTGCTCTAGAAAACATAGGGTATCTGGTTTAAATGCCAGTTAGTTCCACTAGGCTTTGGTGGCCCACTGTGAAAGTTGCTGTTGGATGTACACACACACACACACACACACACACACACACACACACACACACACACACACACACACACACACACAGTCCTGAGGCAGTAGGATGAGTCTGTCTTCATCCCTTTCTCTGGGGAGTTCTCCAGGTGTGGTAGCTTTGGATAGAGCCTCCCCTCATTCAGTTATTCAGCAAACACTCAAGCAGAGGCTACTACATGCCAGTCACTCTGCTAAGCAGGGAGGTGAAAAGGTTACTAATAAATACACAGTTCCTCTTCTCCAGGAACTCACTGTTTGACCAATGAGACAGACGTGAAGCTCTAATTACAACAACATGCAATCAAGCCTGTGCCTGAGTATCGAGTCTATGGGAATGCAGAGGAGAAATGATTCATTTGCCTGGCTTCTTGGGAAGCGAGAGGTATGAGAAGTAATAAGGCTCTATCTAAGCGTCTATCACTTGGGCAAGTTACTCCACCTTTGGGTGCCAGTTTCCCCACATGTAAAATGCAAACAATAACAGTACCCACCTATGGTCACAGTGAAGATTCCATGAGATGAAAGGTATAACATACTTAGAACAGTGCCTGGAAGAGATGTTTTGTTAAACCACTGAGTTGAATTCTTTTGGCTATCAGAGTTTTTCTTTTTCTTTTTCTTTTTTTTTTTTTCTTTTTTGAGACAGAGTCTTGCTCTGTCGCCAGGCTGGAGTGCTGTGGCGTGATTTTGGCTCACTGCAATCTCAAGCGATTCTCCTGCCTCAGCCTGACTATAGGTGTATGCCACCATGCCCAGCTAATTTTTGCATTTTTGGTAGAGATGGGGTTTCACCATATTGGCCAGGATAGTCTCGATCTCTTGACCTCATGATCCGCCCACCTCAGCCTCCCAGCTGGGATTACAGACGTGAGCCACTGCACCCGGCCCAGTTTTTCTAATCTTTACCCTTCCAGGGCTCTGAGAAGTGTGAGGCTAGTAGAATCACCTCCTGCAGATGTTTGTGGTATAGAAATAGAAACTGCATAGTCCCTCAATATCTTTATCAGGACTCTAAAGATAAGTGGCTATGAACTGTGGCACACTTTAGAGCATACTCAGTGTTGGGGTGGATTCAGATCTAACAGTTGGCTACCCTTAAATGAGTATTTACAGTCTTTGAGCAAATTCTTGCTGATTACAAAACACTATGCAAGTTACCAGAGATACAAAGATGAATAAGACATAGTCTCTGCCCTCAGGATCTCAGCCTATTGGGGAGACAGCTATAACCACCAGCAACCATGGCCAGCACAGAGGGAGCAATTAAGTTGGCCACAGAAGAGATAATACTTCAACTGAGCTTTTGTAAGTCTTGCCCAAGTTAGCACGCTGGTCTCTTTGGAAGGCATTAATGTGTATGGGCAGCAGAATCCCATTTAATTTATTTTACATCCAGTTTGACAAATGGCTCTCCTTGCCATGGGTATGCAAGATAAATATGCCTCCAAAATGTGATCTCAGAGCATTTTAGAAACTAAGTGGCAAATATCCTATACATCAAGATGACAGTGACATTGAGAAACATGTGGTTTGTTAATCCACAGGGGAATCAAGATCAGACTTCAAGTTCTAGGTATTAGGCATATTTTGGGGTTCTTTTTTATGACATCCCTATCCCTTTTCCTCTAAAACTCCTACATATTAAAATTAGATGTTGCTGGCATACAGGGAATTTTTTTTTAATATAATAACTGCCTGTTTACTTCCTAGAACTATAAACAAAGCTTAGAAGAACAGGGATGTCTATCTTGTTGGCATTTACTGTTCTTACAGGAAAATTAAAGTCTCACAAAGACACAGTTCAGTGAGCCAGTTAAGCCTTGTCTGTTAAACTTATGCAAAATATATGGCAATAATTCTGATAGCTATTGCTAATTCAAAGCATAGGTTATGAAATCCAGGTTTGAGCACTTAAAAAGTAAAAACAAACCCAACATCTTGCAATACTCATATATTTCCATTTCATTTTCATATTCTATCTCTAAGCAGGCCTGTTTTTTATGTCAAATTACATTCTTAATGGAGAATATTTGGAGGAAATATAAAATGGGTTGGATTTGATCAAGTAGTTACTAGTCTTTCTTTTGGTGACATATAACCTCCTACTTGTCAGCTTCTAGAAGATGAATCAATTTTGTGAGGGCTTGGCCAATATCAATGTCTTCATGACTCATCAGCTCGTTGCTAATCCAAGGACAGCAAATAACTACAAATGCTGTAAGTAAGCCCAGTTATAGACTGCTGATGAATTTGGTGGTCCTGGTATGTGCCCTGCCCAAGAATGACGGTGTCTGTCTAGGGAATATTTCTTTGAATATAAATAGTAGGTAGTGGTTTATCTTAGTCCATTTAGTGTTGCTACGTAGGAATACCTGAGACTGGGTAATTTACAAAGGGTTTATTTGGCTCACGAATCTGCTGACTAAAGACTGGGCATCTGGTGAAAGCCTTGGGCTACTTCCACTTGTGATGGAAGAAGGCAGAGGGGAGCTGCCCTGTTCAGAGATCATATGGCAAGAAGGGGAGCAAGAGCTTGTAGACATGTGATGTATGACAGTCTCCATCTTCCAGGGACTTCTGCCTCCACCCCATCTCTTTATAACCAGAGCCCCCAGACAGGGAAGGACTGAGTCTTTTGTGGCTAGCACATTGGAGATAGTTGATTTCATGGGCAAATTATATAGAGTGACATTTACTTTTTATGCTGGGAAATTTCTTCCAACAATATATTTTTGTCCAACCATCTGCTTGAGTCAAGTTTCTGTCAGCCTCTGGAAGTAATAATTATTCCCTGCTCTGAAACTGAGCTTCATGCTGGCTTTCTGCTGAGGGAGCAGACCCTTTGGCTGTCTGTTATCTATTGTCAAGAGTTCTTTTGTCACTCACTATTGTCAGCTGCTGATTTTCCAACACACGCTTTAAGGCTATAAATAAACCCTCCCAACACAAATCCCCCCCCTTATGAAAGACAAAATACACCAGTAAATTAGGATATGATTTTTATTCAGGCTATTGCAATAGGGGGACATTCGTTAATAAGAAATACCTCAAAGAAAAGGAATGAGCCTGGCTTTTATGGAGACAAAGAGAGTCTTAAGGGAGCGTGAGGAAGGATGGAGGTGGCTCTTACTTCAGAATATGCAAAACCTGCATGGCCCTTGGCAATTAGCCAGTTCCTACAACCCAAAAGGGCAGAAGATTTCTTAACATCTCTACTTTTTAGAGTATAAGACTTAGATTAAGTTCCACATTGTCAGTCCTCCCTTTTGTTGAAAATGAACATCATTGCCACTGTTGGGACTCAGAAAACAATACCCCAAAATGAAAGCCTCCAAAGTAGCCTCAGAAGCAAAGTCTCTTTCTGACCTTCTGCGCCCCCCACCCTGTCTCTCACCCCTCATTCTCCCCTGAGATAAACCATAGAAACTGTGATCCCTCTTCCCCAAGATGGGTCATAGAAACAAGAACTCCTTTTCCCCAAAGCCAGCCATAAAACCTAGAAATATTATTCTAACCTTCCACCATTCTTCTGTGTAACACTTAGCCATAAAGAAACTAAGACCCCCATCCCAGAGGGGTCCTACCCCATACCTGGGAGGAAGGAATGCTGCACGGAGAGGCCAAGAAGAAGCTGAACAGCCAGGCCTTGGTAGGTTTCCCCACGCAATCTATTTCCATTAGATCATACCCTTTTTTGTCCAATCACATTTCCACATGACCGTCCCTGCTTCATCAAACCTAAGCATAAAATTAGATAGCTTCTCCTGTATCTCTGGGTCTTCATTCTGAAGGCTCAACTGTCATGTAAAACTATGATCAAAGAAGCTGTTCATTGTTTGAAGCAATAAAGTGCAAATGAAACCTGTCTTTACATGCACAATGGGGCATATGCTTCCATAAATGCCTGATTGTGTGTGCAAATGAGTGTTTTACACACCCAGTTACTATATTTATATTTTTGCTATATTTATATTTTTAGGGTCAGTGTAAGTGCTTTCATTTTTTAAAATGAAATTGTTTTAAAAAAAACTGGCCGGGCGCGTTGGCTCACGCCTGTAATCCCAGCACTTTGGGAGGCCTAGGCGGGTGGATCACGAGGTCAGGAAATCGAGACCATCCTGGCTGACATGGTGAAACCCCGTGTCTATTAAAAATATAAAAAAGGGCCGGGCGCGGTGGCTGAAGCCTGTAATCCCAGCACTTTGGGAGGCCGAGGCGGGCGGATCACGAGGTCAGGAGATCGAGACCATCCTGGCTAACACGGTGAAACCCTGTCTCTACTAAAAAAAAAAATACAAAAAACTAGCCGGGCGAGGTGACGGGCGCCTGTAGTCCCAGGTACTCGGGAGGCTCAGGGAGGAGAATGACGTGAACCCGGGAGGCGGAGCTTGCAGTGAGCTGAGATCCGGCCACTGCACTCCAGCCTGGGCGACAGCGCGAGACTCCGTCTCAAAAAAAAAACAAAAAACTATGATCAAATACACTTGTTATTTTTTTTCCGGTTAACCTGTCTTTTGTTATAGGGTGTTGGCCATGATCCTTATGATGGGGAGGAAAGGAATCACCAATTTTCTGCTCCCTCCCACTGAACAACTTAGAGATGACCTAAGGCCTCCTTACCTGTGTGAAGTAACTGGGAATTGGAAGGTGAGGTCCAGTTATATCCAAGTGTTGGCATCAAACTGTGAAACACAAAATGCACTGGACAATTAAGGATATGATTTTATTCATGCCGTTGCAATAGGGAGAACATTTATTAATGAAGAATAACTCAAAGGAAAGGAAGGGGTCCTGGTCTCCCATGATTCCTCATGGAAGCCTTGGGGAAGGATGAAGGTGGGTCTTATCACAGAATATTCCAGGGCTGGGTTGTCCTTTGTGGGGATGGTTGTTTCTTTTGAAACATAAAAGGGTAGGAGATTTCTTTCTCTCTCTCTCTCTCTTTTTTTTTTTTTCTTTAAGAGACAGGGTCTCGCTCTGTCTCCCCAGCTGGAGTGCAGTGGTGTAATCATGGCTCACTGCATGCAACCTCAGCCTCCTGGGCACAAGTGATCTATCTCAGCCTCTCAAGTAGCTGACACTACAGAACAACAGGTGCACCACCACGACAAGCTAATTTTGTTGTTGTTGTTGTGGAGATGGGGTCTACCTGTGTTGCCTAGGCTGATCTCAAGCTCCTGGGCTCAAGTCATCCTCCTGCCTTGGCCTCCCATAGTACTGGTGTTACAGACAAGAGCCACTGTATTTGGCCCAGTAGGGGATTTCTTAAGCATCACTGCTTTTAGGGAACAAAAGCCTTACAGAAAGTTTAACAGTGTCAAAATTCTTTTAAGAGGTCAAAGCAAATTTGAAAAAAAAAAAAGAAAGAAAGTTTTTATAAGGTTTAGGTATGAGATAATATCAGAATTCTGATATCTTAACTGTTTGCTTGTTCTATAAGAGATACTTAAGCTAACTCCTTATTTAATTTGAGTAAGGAAAAACAAATGGCCTGTCTGACCAAAGCTAAACAACAGGAAGGGAAACACAGCTCCTCTTACTTTCCTAGAGAATCATGGACCAATTTTCAATTTGGACCAATCATGGAACCTTTTTCTGTAACTTATAGAAATTCATTCAAAATGTACTTTTTGAGCACCTGCCATTGCCAGGCATGAATATAGGTGGTGGGGATATAGCAGTCAATGTGACAGTCCGTAATTTCTCCCCTTGAGCCCCTTGCTATGGAGAAAGAGAATGCAGCAAAGCGCAGGGAGAGCCATGGGAAGGAGCAGTACTGTTTCCAACAGGTTAGCCAGAGAAGACCCCCACAAGAAGGTGACAGGAGTAAAAACCCGAGCGAGGGAGCAGTGCTGACGCCTGAAAGAACATTTCGGGCAGAGGGAACAGTAAAATGGGAAAACCCTGAGATGGGAACTGTTCAAATAATTAATCGGGAGGCCATTTAGCTGAGCCACCTTCAGCACCCTGGGTTCCTTCCTAAGCAAATGGAAAACCAACTCAACGTAAACAGTAAAATGAAACAAGCGTAACCAATCAGAAACTGCCAGCTAACTTCTAACTACGGACTTTACCAATGAGAAACTGACCTCTCACCAGGGACTTTCTGCTTTAACCAATCAAATATTTTCTTTGTCTTGCTTCCATGATCACCTTATAAAAGGCCCCTGCCCTCCTCCCCCTCTGAGCGCTGCGCTGAGCTGCCTGTGGTCTGGTGCTGCCGGATTCCTGAATCATTCAAAGCTCAAATAAACTCATGAAATTTTAATATGCGTAAATTTGTCTTTTAACTGAACTTGCCAAGATTTTCAAAGAACAGCAAGGAGTTCAGAGTCTCTCGGGTGCCGTTATAAAGAGGGGAAGGGTAGTGGCTGAGGGTCGACAGCTGAGGGAGCAGAGGCTGTAGAGTCGTACAGACAACTGTGATGACTTTGGATGTTACTCAGGTTGAAGCAGGAAGGTACTGACATGATGACTTTGAGCAGAGACGGAACATCACCTAACATATTTTCAGAGGATTACCCTAGCTTATGTGATAAGAGGATTGAAGCAGTCAGACCAGTGAGGAGCTGTTGCACTGCTCTTGAGAAGATGGGAGCTCGGATCAAGATGGCCATGGTGAAGTGTGGTGGAGGCTGCTTAGGTCTCATTTGGGAATTAAACATTTATTCCTCCAGCAGCCGGGAAGCTCCAGCTAATGGAGCTTTGTCAGCCCTCTTCAAGAATCGCCTCTGCTAAAGACAGCTGCCTTGCCCAGTGACACTTCCCCTGCCTGGAGGCTTGTTAATGAGGGCTACAAAGGCCTGGCCCTGTACCTCCACTCAGGACAACTCCTAAGGGCCATCCCAGTTCAGAGCTCCCCAAGGAGTCCGCTCAGACCTTCCTTGTGCTTCCTTGGGCTTCCTCACAGCCCAACTTCTCCCTTTCTTACAGGCATTGATCCCAAGAGTACCCCGTAATAAACTCCCTGCCCATTCAGCTCCATCTCAGACTCAGCTTCCAGGGAAACATAGCTTGTGCATTGAGGTGGTGAGCAGTGGTCAGGTTCTGAATATATTTTCTTTTCTCTCTTTTTTAAAGACAGGGTGATATGGTTTGGCTGTGTTCCCACCCAAACCTCACCTTGAATTGTAATAATCCCCGGGTGTCAAGGGCAGGGCCAGGTGGACATCCTTGACTCATGGGGTCGGTTTCCCCCATACCTGCCACCATGTAAGAGAGCCTGTGTTTCTCCTTTGCCTTCCACCGTGCCTTTGTGAGGCCTCCTCAGCCATGTGGAACTGTGAGTCCATTAAATCGCTTTCCTTCTCCACAGAGAATCTAAGTGGTCTTACAAAGGAACAAAGCTAGCCGTCAGCACGTCCACCAGGAAATGTTTCCAGCATTGTTTTTTTGTACACAGCCCATGCTGCAATAATAGGCTCCCATGAGAAGTTGAAAATAGGCAAAGCTGCTTACAAACTACCTTTATCATACACCCCGAGGATAATTCCAAGGCAACATTGAAGTAATCAGAATGACATGACACCACCTTGTGTAGGTGCAGTTTCACAGTAGAGAGAAAGTTCGCTCTAGGGAATGGGAGTTAAGGAGATGAATCTTGAGCTGGAGCTTGACAGCAGTACGGACTAAGTGGAAAGCCTGGGAAAGGTGTGCTAGGGGAGAGGAAGATGAGAGAGGGCCCAGGAGTGAAGATGGATAAGATGCCTAGGAGGAGGAACTGTTGTTGTGAGTCTGCCTCTCATGAAAATTACATCTGTTAAGTAAGGTGGGGTAAGTCAGCTAATTTTTAAAACCAGGCCAAGAGTTTGGATTTCACCCTTTAGACTACCAAGGGAACAGAAGAAATCTCAACACTTTTAAACTGCCAGTGTGAACTGTGAATCTCCACATCAGAAGTGTGCAGTATTTCCCAAATGTATTTGGCATTGAAAACTTCTCTTCCATGACACCACCTATTAACATCTTTGGAAAGATTTGTCCCACAGACACATTGAGGTAGAGAACACTCAACCTTGGGGTGTAATGGGAAAACTAGTGGGTCAAGGGAGCCAGTAATAACCAAGAGTTTTAAAAGGTTATGAACAGTATCTTGGGTGGTACGCAAAAAACATTGATTTATTATCCTGCCCCCACAATTCATGTTCACTGTTAGTGGCATATTATGGGGCATATGGAAAGAGACCCATTGTTTTCTGGAACCTTCTTTTCCTTCTTGAATGATTACTAAATCGGTTACATTTTTCATCATATGACTTATATCCTTGCAAAATATCCCCTGGCTTGGTATCATACTGCATTTCTGTTCAAGCAGTGGTTGTATTGCCTGTTCCTCAGCAGGCAGTGGGTATTGTCTCTGGTCGTTGTCAGATGCCAAGTGGCACCTGTAAGACAAGCAGGAAGGAACTGGTCTTGTCCTGTAACAGCAACTCCAAACCAGGAAAGCTCTGTCTATAGCCCCAGGCCTCTGCGGTCTGTCCCCACATTTGCCAGGACTTCTCATCCCTTTGCTGTCTTCTCATTTCAGTTCTCATTTGCTCACTGTGGTGCCTCCCCCCACTGAGCCACTTGGTAATTGAACTTGAGTTTTATCTTCCCTTCATTCTACTTCAAAAATACCCGAACATAGCTTGTTTGTTTTCCCAGTGAGGCATCTGACAAGTCTTTAGCTTCCGTTTAGCAATAGTTCCCAGTCAGAGGGGATACCAAACCCCCCCAGGCCTGTACTTTGTGGCCTTTGAAAATGTGTGGAGGCATTTGTGTGTGTGTGTGCATGTGAAGCTGTCACCACGCATTAGCCAGGGTTCGGGGTAGCATTACTGCCATGTGATAGGCAGGGGCTTAGGATAATACTACAGAATGAAGAGTTGCCCCACCCGAAATACCAGTAACACCCCCAATAAGCTCTGCCGTATGCTTCATATGAGTACCACTTTGCTAATTTTCAATATCTACAGTACCACCTGTGCCATTATTAGTTTAATATTTTTCTTTGAATTAATTCACTTAAATTTTTTTGTTTTTATTCCAAATAGCAGTATACTTGAAATGATGGGTCGATGTTATTTATATATTTTACAGTACACATAAAAATAAATACCTAACACCTAATAGAAACTATTCTTAATTAATGATACACATGTGAAGTCGGGAAACACTGGAGCTATGGCCACATACCCAGTTAGATTTTATTTATGTATTTATTTATTTTTATATAGAGACAAGGTCTTGCTCTCTTCCCCAGGCAGGCACAGTCATAGCTTACTACAGCCTCGAAGTCCCAGGCTCAAGCTATCCTCCCACCTCACCTCCCAAGTGGCAAGGATTACAGATGTGTGTCACCGTGCCTGGCTAATTTTTATATTTTTTGTAGAGATGAGATTTCACTATGCTGCTTAGGCTGATCTTGAACTCCTGGCCTTAAGCGATCCTCCATCCTCGGCCTCCTGAAGTGCTGGGATTACAGGCATGAGCCACTGTGCCCAGCCTCCTGTTGGATTTTGATGGGAACATTAGCCTCACACAGATTTTCTCTTCTGAACCAGGAAGGTCTGCACATGTACACCACATAGACTCCTTAGCATGAGCCATATAAGGGCAAAGGCCACATGTTTACTGCCCCATAACATCATTTATTTTATTTAAAGTAGCCTATCCCAATGACAATGACAGCATTCTTGACCTGAGTCAATTCTCTTTGTTGCTTCCAAAGTCAAGGATAAAAGTGAGGGTCACTTGGCTTTTGCCTCCTTGAAATGTAGCTCTCTGAGGGCCCACCTGTGTCTTGTGTCCCCTTCTTTCCCAATGCAGTGTCTGGCACATGAAGTCATGATTAACGAAGGTCTCAGTGAATGAAGGAAAGCATAAACACAAAAACGTATGCGTACCCCTCAGTACAGGGCAAGTGATGGAGAACTGTAAACACTACTGTCACTGAGTCAAAAAATCTTACA